TTTTTTTAATGTTTTATATATTACTATTTTATTCTGTTATTTTCACAAAATTAAATACTTGTTTAGAATTAATAAAAATAAATAAATTGAGGTAATGAAACTTTCTTTTTGTTCAAATATTTATACTTAAAAAAATTTAATATTAAATCACATTATTGATATTAGTTTTTTTAAAATAAAATATCAATATGTTTTACTTGTATAAAACATTTACTTCTTTTATAAATATAAATATATATATATATATATATATATATATATATATAGAGAGAGAGAGAGAGAGAGAGATTAAACATAGAGTTTTAGTAAATATTTTATAAAATCCAAACTCTTTAAATTAGAAGTAGTTAGATATACCATCTTATTAATTAAAATATATACATCAAGACTTGCTAGCTATCTATGTATACATTTTCTAAAATAAAACACACTAATTTTTTTTTGAATTTTTTATTTTTTTAATAATGTTTTATAACAATACTTATTAAAATTTAAAGTAAAATTAAAAAACCTTCCATCAAATAAATATCAACTATGATATTTTAATTTTTTATATTTTTAATAATTATTAATTAAATTATATTTTTTATTAAAAATAAATAAAATTATATTAAAACTATATTTATTTATTTATTTATTTATTTATAATTTTATTTATATATTTATCTAAATTTTTTCATAAATAAGAAAAAAAATTAACTATTGATATTTAATAGTTTTAAAAAATAAAACATTATCTAATGACCATCAATTATAAAGTATAATATTGATTTGAATATTTGTATTACAACCTTAATATTTCATACGTAATACTTAATCTTCAATTTTTAAAATATATAATTTCAATTACTTAACTATATAACTTCATTGTAGTAATATCATTTTATTTAACTGTCATATTCCTTAATTTATTAACTTTTATATTAATTTTTATTGTTAAAATATATATTATATAATCTTTTTAGTATCTCTGTATATAATATATAATATAAATATATAACCAAAATTTATGTTAATCACCTAAATTTTAAAATATTATAATAATATTTTAAAATAACAAGTAAAATTGAAATAGCATTGGATAGAATATCTCCATTTTGTTTCTAGTTTTAATAGTTTTTATCAACTGTAATAGTCAAACACTTGTTTGGTGTACAGAAGAACATTGCCTGTTTAGTCTTAGGTATTGTTATTATAATAATATTATTAATTTTTTGTAAGAAAAGTAATCATTTATGTTGAATTGATAGCTTTATTATTACAACTAATTACAATGCAATGTATCTACAATACACATCCAAAGTTCTTGGAAACACGTTGGTGAAAATAGATATTTATTTTGTAATATGTTTTTTTATTGTACATTTGAAAAAAAAAATTATATTATATTTTAATTTAAAATGATACCTAAATGTTTTGACAATAAATTTCTAAAACAAAATTTCTATATGTTGATTTCTTTGCATACTATTAAAATTTTGTAAATAAGCTTTTTAGCAATAGAATAGTGGATGTATGTATATTTATTGGTATGTAATTCTCATGTAGTTTATACACCATAAATAATTCAAATTCTAAAGTTGAGATTATCTAATTGATTAGGTATTTTATGGCTTGAATTTTATTGATTAGATATTAAACTAAAATTGTACAAAAGAATATATATACTAATTATTTGACCAATGATTAAGATTACAACATAATAGTTTTTAAGTTTATAATTTAATTTGGATGTAAAATTATAAATTTAATCATTTACTAATATAATATTAAAATACACATGGTTCTAAAAATAATGTTGTAAGCATCTACATGGAAAAAAAACCCCTAGTTTTTTATTCGCCATCTAATTTTTATACATAATAATAATAATAATAATAATAATAATGAATTTAAATTTCATTATTTAGTTTTTAGTAAAATTTTAAATTATGAGTGATTTATTCTTTTTAATACTAATGCACTTTAGATTATAAATTAAGATTCAAATAATTAAGTATCTCTAGTTTATAAATATAACCAATAAAAAATTAATTAAGTTATGAATTCTCTACATTTAGTAAATTTCCAATGTAAAGATTAATATTATTATTTTTATTACTTTTAATCAACTAATTTACATTTATTCTTCTAGAGGAAAAATTTGTATCTATCTTTAAGTCTAATATTTATTTTTCTCAAGACATTTAGACTCTCTAGCCACACTATCATAGTCAACCAACCTAAAAAATCAGAAATCTTTTATTGCATATCAATATTTGATTGATGTAGTCTACTCTACAAAAATAGAAGTATAGATATTTCACATTAAATTTGTGTTTGTTTATGTTGATTTTTTGTTGTATGTGTTTGACATAACATGTTAAAGTGACATGAATATTGAGGTTGTGATAGGTCCTCAATGGATCTGCATTGAAAACATTAAATTCTTCACAATAACTGGAACTCTTTTATGCATGAGGACCACCACCATGCACCATGTGTTTGGTCACATAGAAAGCTTCATTTTACATAGATTCCATGTGTAATGTTGTACAAGGTTACAGAATTTGCAGGCATGGTGATGTCATTACCTCTCTGGCCATGCTCCCTCATGGAACATGAGCATGGAAAAAGGAGGTCCCCTTTTTCCATGAGAATCAAGACAACAGTTCCAATTGTGTGGTCCACCAGAATGGCTCCAGAGCTTTGTCTCACATGTGTTGCACATAAGGGGGGGGGGGGTCATTCTGTCGACTGGCCTGGGATTCCTATGCTAGAAGTTCATAGGAAGGAAACAAGTATCCCACTCTCATAAAGGTACAAATTTAATGAGGTGTTCAGCAGTCAGGTAGAAAGGAAAACAACCAAAAAAAGTAAAAAGTAAAATTGGAAAAAGGAAAAAGATCAGGACACGGTAACAGAGATAGGTGCAGCACCGCATGAAAGGGAGCAGAGCAAGAATAAAGAGCGGGTGACACGTAGGACGACCAGGTGGCCACCGCCTGACTTTCCCTCCGACGTGTCGGTCACTTCTGCACATTGTTAATCCACATGTCAAGGAGAGTTTCGTGCAATGCCACCTTTCATCTTCTGTGGCTTGGGCTTGGTTAAATCTCATGCCCTCTTTAAATTCCCGGACCTATAACCTTAATAACGTTTGGGGTAACGAAAATCGCTGGGAATGCGGCGTCGAAGGTTCGCAACCCCAGAACCCTGCACCCTTTCCAATCTCAATGCAGGAGTCCATAATGACGAATCTTGAGGATCTTTATCGGAACAATGTTCTTCAAAAACATTGTATAATAAGGAAACGCTATTGGAAAAGTGAAGGGGAAGCGAAGCGACGATAAAGTACTTCCTTTACTGTAGTCTTGGAAAGAATCCACCAATGGGAGCCTTCACTTGCTTCAATATTTATTATCTTGCTTTAATATTTATTATGGATACGTTTTCGCAATAAAGTATGCATACCTGCACACGTACATGCATGCATGACACCCATGCATTTTTTTTTTTTTTTTTTGTTTTTTTGGCTTCTTCGTTATTGGGTTCAAGAAGTGACAAACAAAGTAACCCAACAGATACTGACAGAGAAAGTAGAGATTTCTCTCTTTCTGGCACTACTAATGAATGCAATGCGTGTGAAGTAACATGGAAACACCCGTAGCCGTCAACGTAAGGTTTTTCAGTTATCTCTAGAGGGTTGAATTTGGAAATAAATTGTTTTGGATGGAGACATAAGGTTCTGATGTGCTTCTGAACAAAAAAATTGAATCACCGCAGTGGTTGAATTGAAAAAAATGTTCAAAGCAGATTTTGTTGGGGTCATGTGGCCGCCATTTCTGCAACCACATGGGTGGAATTTCGCGAACAATGCGGGCACTGATCCACTCGCACGTTGGACAGAAGACCGCGCCCAGGTGCGACCAGAAACCTCGGAAAGGGAGGCAGATACTATGTGCGGCTGTGTTCTTAAACCGTGCCTGGCTTCGTCGTGAGCCGTCATGTCCACGTTCGCTTTCTCAGGTTTGTACTACCAGAAGGCCTTGTCCTCACGGGGATCGCTCCTCCGCGGACACACGATTGCGCGACGACGAGGGGCTTCGGTCCATGCCCAACGGGTCGTCGTTGAAAACCACGAATAAATTTTTGTTCTTGTTTAATGTTCTGGTCAAGCACCCTAAACCTGTAACACAAGCAGAGTGAAGTTCAGTTGAGTTCGAAAATAAATCACGATTGGAAAACCAGTCACATCAAGACCTCGAGCTGACCTCGGAACTGTATGCGGCCGTGTCCTTAAACCTGGCTTCCTCGTGAGCCGCTGCGTTTTTTTGCTATTCCTGTCCTTCGTGGTCCCACACCCTCGCAGTGGCATTCCGCGGTGAAAGCGCCTGGTCGCGCGGTTTCTCCTTAAGCCTAGTTGGTGGTTCAGGGGTAGATTTAAGGTGTTTCGACATTATATTGAATTTCGAATCAAGTTTGATTGAATTGGATCTCAATACGCGTTCATCCAGCATGAATATTTTACTGTAAATTTTAGAGTGTGGCGTTTGTGGTCATAAAAATGCTGTGCAGAGATTCGCTTCCGAGTATACCCAGTTATGAAAATTTCTGGCATGTAAATGATGAAAAAATACCACTGAAAATTTAGAAATATTTAAGTAAAGAAAACAAGAAAAAAAAAAGCAAATAAGAAAGGAAGAATTACATGCAAATACCAAGTGGCTTAAACTTATTCTTTAAATGCATGCTATAATATATATTTATATATATATATATATACACACAAGATGAAAACCATGGCACATGAGGGGTTTTAAATCCGCCACATCCTACTAAAGTCCCAAAAAAGGAAAAATGAGAGCCGGCTCAATCCCTTTTCTAGTTTACTTTTTCAGACACAGGATCAACTTAAATGTGAGAGAGAAAAGCTCGTTGCTAACGTGTATCGTCATATAAAGGAATAATATAGAGGGGGGAGAAGGGGACCGGGGAGGGGGGGGGGGGTGGGGGGACGAGCTCGCGCCGTGGCATCTCGTGCACGGTACACATCTCCCAGTTCGCAAATTTTATGGCGCACTCATGAGCGTTCACAGCGTCGCACACCATCGCCGCTGCGCTTCTCAAGCTTCGGCCAGTAGTTTCGCTCTGCCTCGCGATTGCATCATTACTCACATGCCTTCGTGATGCTGTCGCGGAATTACGCTGCGTTTTGTTTTTTTCTTCTTACGTAGGCAGTGTGGCGGTGAGTAGACTTCGCAGGAGGCGGTACCGATTGTGTGGCGGTTAGCGAGGGTGGATGGAACTCACATGAATTTGTGAACTGAGGATGGATGGGAGAGTCTAAGGAGGAGGAGGAGGATCGTGATGAGCGACTGAGCGAGAGAGAGGTAGTGAGGGAAAAGAGAAGAAAAATTCGGGGAGAAGTAGAGTTGTTGGAGAGATTTCATGCGATGCATTGCATGGTGTGAGCGACTGTGCTTAGGGTTGGTGAAGTTGGCGAGGTTGTTGCGGGAGTGAATGGCATTAACCACGGGCGTTGCTGTGGATTGTAGTGGTGCTGTTGGCTACTGTGATCATGCGGAAGAGGGATATGCCTCGGACCTGACGGATGTGGAGAGTGATGAAGACTACTCGTGTTCTCCTGAAGTCTTTGAGCATGGCGTTGCGCGCGGTTCCAAGCGGACGTGTGGGGTGTTTGTTGATAGCGAGGCAGTGCCTTCGCGAAGGTTGCGGAGTAGGATTGATTGGCAGTTTGATGTTTTGATGACCATTGCTCCAAATTTGTGCACTGTGAGTGCTTGGGCATGGAACTTTCGTGGTTTGACTAGCTTGCTGATTGAAAGGTGGAGTTGAATGAGCTTGTTATCTCGTCGTGTAGCAGAGAGTGAGTAAAACTGATTTTTTTGCATACTGTGCCTCCTACTAGCATGCGGCTTTGCTCTCTACGTTTTTTCCTTTTTACATTTACGTTGTCTGACAAGCTTTGCTTTCGGTTGCGCAGGATGTGAAGGCGTCAATCCTGACATGTGCAAACGAGTACATTGAGAAGTTGCTTAGACAAGTGCAGGAGCTGCAGTACGACCTTGTTTATGAATCTAGTTTTGAAAGTGATTTTAGTTGCTGTGAAGATGATCAAAGCTCTTGTGAATGCGACACGAGCCTACACTGCACTGAGGAGAGGGCAGTGGACTCTAATGTTAGCTTAGAATCGATCTGTTTGAGCAATTGCGACTGCTCGCAACCTACGGTATGCCATCATAGGTTCTTTGATTCGTTTGGTTTTACTTTGGAAGGAGGGCTTTCGAGGATCTATTTATTCTGTCGCCATGAGTGTTGACTCACCTCGAGATGCTGGGACTATTAGGTGGAAGTTGTAAGAACTGAGCAAGGATTGAATATTCACATCGAGTGTGTGAAAAGACCTGGGCTGTTGGTGGACATTATGGAGTTGCTCGAGTCGAGTGGTCTGAACGTCGAACAAGCGAGCATAATTTGTCAAGAACACCTTATTTTCGATGGCCTTGGATCAGAGGTACTTGGGCACTCCTGATTGCGAATCTTGTGGTTCCTTGTTTGGTGCTTGATGATGAGTTCAAGAGTCCAGCGGAGAGTCTTCGCATCGACTGTTCTTAATAATTAAAGTGGAGCAATTGGAAGTGACGTCGATACATTCCGAGTTTGGAGTGACTAAAATTTCTGATTGCTTACTTCAGGGTTTTCGCACAGTGAGAGTTGAACTGTATGATGCAGGTTGAGGATAATGATGCTGGAGTGTGCAGACATGTGTCTTGTGTGAGTGCCGAGGATGTTGGAGCTAGTTTGAGGTCTCTCATTGTGGATCATAGACCAGCTTTTCTAACGCAGTAAGCATGCATCAGATTTAAGGGTGCACTGAACACTCCATCCATATCTTTTTGTGGTCATCCTTTGAACTACAAGATTATATCCCTGTCGAGTAGAATGACCATGATGCACTTTTGAATTCAAAACATGCAGAGATATTTGCCTATAGGAGCTTCCAAATCCATGCAGGTAGTTCTTGATGACTGACTGTCGCACGAGAGTGGGTGGATTCTGTTTTTAAGACAAGATATTCTCCTTTTATTTGGGTTTCTCTCTAGAACGATGGGAGTATGTTTCACAGTAGATGATTCAACATATGCGGCTGGCTGTGCACTGATAAAGCAGGCTTTTCTCTCTTAATCAATCTGTGGCATTTCAACTCTTCAAAGATTGCATGTCTAGAGATGGGTTTAAACTATCTGATTCTTAAACATATTTACGCGTATCTTCTTTGTAAGATTACAATCTGCAATAAATGCACCCCACTTATGTACTGCATTGACTTCATCAGTGAATAGTATTGAGCTTCATGTTCATTATTGTAGTCCTACTCTGTCGTTTCTTTTTGTTTTTATATTTTCTCGAAACTTCGGGAAACATATATATATATATATATATATATATATACATTCATTTACTGACACGTCATAAGTTATCCTGCCGCTTATATTAACTATTAAATAAATAAGAAACATGTTCTGCCATTGTCTTGCATTTGATTTTACATTGCTGGCAAAAAATGGAGCACTATTACACTTAACATTTGTTATCTTACCAAGGATGTAAGTCCAGTGTAGCATATATAACATATGTTAAGTGGTTACTCTATTACTCCATTTGATTGAGTTACCATCCCTTTTCCTAGTATACTCTTTGTTGATGTTCTATTTCATCTTTTTAGAAAATTGACAGTAAAATTCGGTTGTTTCCTAATTCTTGTTAGTTTTTTTTTTCTTTTTTTTTAATATATATATATATATATATATATATATACATATGTAATATCAATGTATATTAATTGTTTGACTGGAAACTTATTTCATTTTATCTGCGAGGACTTTTGGTGTCCTAAGATGCATCATAAATACAAACAACTAAAAGAATACCAAATGAAGTTAAATCATTTAAATTAGATTAAAAGTGGAGAAGAAAAGATAACTTGGTTTTTTGGGAAAGCTTTCTATGGCCCTTGGTTTCCAAATCTTGGAATCATCTTACACAAGAAAAGCAATCTAGTTCCATACTATTTTAGCTTGATGAAACTTTCAAAAGCAATAAATTTATATTTCAAGAGTTGGCATATTATAAAGTAGGAAGAAATGAGAGATATTAGGATTGCTTTATACCTTCTAAATATTTACAACCAAAACTTTGTATAAGAAAAGCTAAATAAGCATAGTTTTTTTTTAATGCTAAAATACTCATTCATATCTTTAAGTAGCCAAAGTGATGATCTTCTTTGAAGGTATCAAGCTATTTCTTTTTGTTATGTTTTATTCTCCTTGCATTAAATTTAATAATTGTCTATCTAATTTTGTATATCCTATGAACTTGCATATAGTTTTTTTATTTATAATCAAAGGATTCAAATTTAATGACGTTAAATGGCTCATTAAAGAATTTGAAAGTCCTTCAGTTTTCTTGACTCTCTTTTGATATAAATGCCACTTTTATTATTTAAGAAAAATATCCCAATTTAAAAAGATTATACTTTCTTTTACAACTTGACATTTTTGTTGATTTGTTTGATGCTTCTTTGTTTCAATATAAGATCTGTAATTGAAAACCTACCCAATACATATTCAAAACTTTAGATTAAAATAACATAATATATATATATATATATATATATATATATATATATATAATATAGAGATTAAATTAGATTTATTAAGTTAAAAGACCACCAATAATAGAATATCTTTGATTTATTATAAATATAAATAATTAATTTATATTTAGTGCTAAAGATCTTCTATTAGATATTTTGTGCCATGTAAGAGATAAAAAAGAATTAAAGTAATTCTTAAAGTCCTTTCCTTTATTTATAAGACAAATTTTTTTTCAATCTAATTAAAGATTTTAAATTTATTATTTAGAGGATAAAAAATATTACAAAATTATTGCATATTATACATATGTAATGAAGAAATTCTTTTAGAGTTAATAAATGCATTAATAAGATGATATTTTAGATTGAATTGTAAATACTTATGCCATAAGTAATAAAACATTATTTAATAAACGAGTATGGAGGTGTTGAATAATAGAATATCATGCTTTTCTAATACTAATTTAATTCTTGGAGCATCTACATTTCTTAGTGTATAGAAAAAAAAGATCTAATAATACTTTTTCAAAATATTTTCTTTATTTATGAAGAACTGTTATTTTAATTCTATAATAAAAAAAAAGTTGACTTTAATTTGGCTAAGTTGTAATGCATTAAAATTCTATTTATTTAAAAATATTTTTGATTCATCTTTTTGATTAATTATAGTTGGATCTTCTTTTTTTATTAGCTTATAATACATATTATATACAATACTAAAATATATCAAGGATTGATAACTATTCTAAAGATAATTATTTATTAGAATTTATTAGAATTTATTAGAATGTAAATAGATTTAAAAAATGAACAAATAACATTCAAAAGCTGACAAAACTAAATATAAGGCTAAACTTGTAGCAAAAAGGCATGCTCAAAAAGAAAGTATTGATTTCAACAAAATTTTCTCTCATGTAGTAAAAATCACTTATATTTGAGTTCTGTTGGCTATTATGGCATACTACGACTTAGAATTAAAATAGTATGATGTTACTATAGATTTTTTATATAAGAAATTAAGAAAAGAAATCTACATGAGCTAGGTAGAGGGTTTTCAAGTCTTTAGGAAAGAAAATTAGTTTTACAAGTTGAAGAATTGATATATGAGTTGAAATAGAATATTAGACAATAGTATAAGCAATTTAATGCTTTCATGATCAATCAAAATTACAATAGGAGTGAGTTTGATTGATATGTGTATTTTAAAAAAGTCACTTTATATGATTATATTATCTTGTTATTTTATATAGATGATATGATGATTGCAACTTAAAAGAGATTTGATATTGATAGAATCAAAAGTTGATTAAGTAAAGAATTTGACATAGAAGATTTAAAACTTGCAACGAAGATACTAAGCATTAAAACCTATTGAGGTAAGAAAATGTGCAATTTTCAATATCATATGAGAAGTATATTAAAAAGATATTGATGTATTTTGGCATGGAAAATATAAAAGCAATGAACATACTTCTAGTATCTAATTTTAGATTATTTTTAGCATAGTATCCTAAGATTGAATAAAAAAAAGAAGTCTATGTCTCCAATTCTATGGGTTGAATAAAAATATAGCCATTAGATAAAAGAAGAAATAAAATATTTTATTATGGAAGACCTTAAATGAAATTATTTAAAAAAAACTATCTTAAAAATATAGATAATAGAAAAAGAGGTAATAAAAATTAACAAGTGTTATTTCTAATTTCTTTTAGAAGAGACTTCTATTTACTTTGTAAGGCCATAAATGAGCCAAATCAAAATAAATGAGATAAATAATTAATATAGGAATCTTTAGAGGTAACTCCAATATTGTTTAATTGATCAAAAAGTGGAATTTGAGAGAAAACTTGTAAGAGGATTTTTTAGAATTAATTTCATATAATTTAAAGGTATATTGAGGTTTTGAATGTTTTTCAAAGTGAAAAGTGTATTCAATGGATTTGGATTTAAAAAAATAAAAAGAAGTTCACAAATTTGATGATTTTGTGAGTGTCATAGCATATTTATAAATGAAAATTTATGAATTTGTCACTATACTTGTTGTAAATGTGTGAAAAATTTGATATCAATCGACTGATTAGATTGAAGGTTGTAAGAGTTTTTATAAGTAATATTCTCAAATAATTGAAATCTAGGATCAATGAAGGTTTTTGCAATCTTACAACATCTACTAATTTGATTGAAGAAAAAATTGGTAAAAGAAATTTAGACTTAACTACCTACAAATCGGCCAATTTTTAGAGCAATTCAACAATTCAACAAGGATAAATCTTTGTTGAAAGATCAATATTAAAATTGAAAAAAAAAAAAAAAAAAACTGCAAACATTTGAAAGGTTTTGGAAGTTTTTATTTTAATTGGTAAATTTTATTCTTTTTAAATTTTTTATAATTTTAAATTATTTGTGAATCATATCATGAATGCAATTTTAATGAAAATTAGTGCTTTAATTAATATTAATTAATATTTAAAAATAATTATAATAATTTATTAAAATTTACTTAGAATTTTCTTGGAATTTTTCAAGGTTTGTTTAGGATATGATCAGGATTTAAATTTTGATTAGAATTTGGTTAAAATTTGATTAGGATTTATTTAGACTTTATTGATTAGGAATTTTTTAGACTTTGTTGATGGTTATATTAATTATTAATAAGGATTTTTATTTTAATATTTTTTAAATATATTTTAAAGATTTTTTATTTTATATATATATATATATATATATATAAGATTAATTTATGATTTCTTTATATTTTTTTTGTAAATTCTTTGAGACTTCTTTTAAGATTTAATTAAAGATTAATTAACATTATTATGATTTAATTAATTTTTTTTAGGATTCTATTAGAATTTTTACGATCTTCTTATTGCAAGTTCTATTTTACCTTCCACATCCCAATGCTTTGTGTATTTTCACGAAAATTTCACAAAATATGACAATGAAAAGTAATCTTATATATGAAATAATTTATATTAGAACAAATACCTTGTTTGATGTTAGTATAGTGAAAAAATATATGATACATCTAAAAAATGAGGATTATAAAGGTGTCAAATAGATTCTTTGATATCTAAAAAGAACTGTAAATGTCAATATAAGATTTGATTTGATTCAAAACATGAAGAAGAAGAACATATTACAAACTTTGTAGATGTTGATTTTATTAGAGATTTAGATAAGAAAAGGTTCTCTATAAAGTATGTCTTCATTTTGTATCAACGACATGAACCTCAAAGAATTAAAATATCAATACATTCTTATGTCACTCAAAAAGACTAGAAAATCAGTTAAAGATGATAAAGTATTAAACTATAATGACTATTATCAAAGACAAGAAGACTTGAAAAGTCTTGAGACAAGACTAAGAATTAAAAAAACATTGATAAGAGTGAAGAAGGCTTCACTCTGGCCTCTATATATACTCTTAACTAGAAGCTACGTGGCAATGCCTTGTAGGACCTCTAAAACATGTTGATATTGCAAGAAACATATCTTAACTTGCAAGACAAGTTTTCTATATAAGAACCACATAATTATCTTGTTTTACAAGCTATCAAAACATGATTAATTTTTTGACCAAGTTTCTAACCCACTAATCAACTACAAATACATATAAAGTCAAAGTAGAACTAATGAAGCTTTTAAAAAGCATCTTTAAAAAATA